AAAACTAAGCGTTTCGAAAGTCATTGTTACCAAAATCTGACATCTATGTCAAAATCTGAAATCTATTTAATTTCAACCCAGTGTTTGTACTTCTTATTCTTCAAGCAACCAACCATGGTAATACATTTCCGTTTCAGTGAGTATATTGGAATATTTATATTATAAGAATTATTTAAATTCTATTTATCGCATTCATCATCAAGTATCTGGTCAGCTGGCATAGGCGTTCATGCGTCGCCACAGATCTCGGTCTTTGGTGTTCTGGATCAATTCCACTGATGATACTCTTCCATGCCACTGTCTCCAGCTATTCACCATCAGCTCTTGGTCAGCCTTTGCCTCTTCTGCCAGTAGTCTTTCCAGTCGTCACGATATTTTCCAGTGCTCGTTTTATCATTACATGACCAAAGAACTTTGTCTCCTTCACATTGTTGTATATAATGTTTTGCTTTCATTAACCATTTCCAGGCATTACATGTTTGTTTTTCTGGCAGTCCAAGGTATTCTCAACATTCTTCTTAAGACCCACATCTCAGTTGCCTCCAAACTCTTCTTAATTTGTTTGCTCACATGCAAAGATTCACTACTATCCCACAGAAAAGGTTGGATATAACATTTCAATTCTCGTTTTCTGGTGTTTAATGAGAGTGATTTTTTACGAAAAATACGTTTCATCTTCTGAAAAGCTATTTATTGTAATAACCTGTAAAAATATGCTAAATTTAAACCTAACCATAATTTAAGTTGCAATTTCACAATGACGCTAGAAGGATACAATGGTTTAATTACCTTTGTAGAAAAATCAACATGGCGGCAATTTCTATTGACGACTTTGATTTCATACAAATGGTGATTCATGATGTCCACGGATTACCTAAGGGACGAATGTTGGCCAAAAGAAGAATGGCGGGTATTATCAAAGATGGACATGGAATCTACGGGGGTGAGCGATGTTTTGTTTTGTGTACTGGTTATATAAACTGTTGGGATGGACATGAGTCATACTTTTATGTAATCCCTCACCAACATAGGACAGCAGTGTACAGCATCCAGGTAGTGTTGTTGGTGACGGGTGGGGTAGGGCTGGGGGAGGGAGGGGGGGGGAGGGGATGGGTTCAGCAACCTTTTCATTTTCTAAGGTCGAGTGCTGGAAGGGCCTTTAAGTGCAATAAAAAGTGTAATAATAAGAATGGTAATAATAATAATAATAAATAATAACAATACTATGCTAAATGACAAATGGGCCTAATAATATATTTGAAATGATGTGAAATGATTACATTATATAAACAAGTCCTTGAAAAAGATAACTCCGATACATGGTTAAGGGGGTGACTTGACCTTCTCGCACATTTTCTAGAGAGAAGGGTGCCTCAGCCTCCCTAGAGTAATGTTTTATAGTTGTGTTGAAAAGAATGTCTCCGCACATGTTATTTGTCAGTAAAACAGATGTAGTGTATTCATAATATCAAATAGATTTATAGCGTACGGAAGCCTTTATGGCACAATTGTCAGAGGGTCGAAGCCTGAAAATAGTCACCAGAAAAAAAACATGGGAAAAATGTCGGTATGATATTGACTGAATCACCATACATGATTTGTCATTAAAAATATAACACCTGCAGCATACCTTACAAGGTTCAAGTCATGTAAAAATTAGTTTTACACACACACACACGCGCACACGCACACACACGCACGCACACACACACACAGACACACACACACACACGCACGTACGCACACACATAAGGTTAAAGTCGTGTGAAAAAAAAACATGTTTTACACACACACACGTCCGCGCGCGCGCACACACACACGCCCACGCGCGCGCGCACACACACACACGTGTTTAAACAAAAATAAAAAGTGTTTGATGAAAAGGAAACACTGTTATGTCTTGTCTAACACCAGGGATATGTTACCGCGGCATCCTTGGCGAACTTCCTACTCATTCTGACTTTTGTGACAAAATAAGCTACGGAAATAAACTTTTGAAACCCGATCTGTCAACGCTGAGGCCTTGTCCCAAGTTAGGACAAGGTAAATACACGGTCGGCCAAGTTCTATGTCGGCTAGAGGAGTTGGATGGTTCACTGGTAAGAACATCATGCACTTGTCATATACCACATTTTGTGTTTACGAAACATGTCTTTCTGTCTCGCTCATAACAAGTAAACGGAAACAGTCAATGGTGTAACATCTAAATAATAAATAAAGGTTCTGCAAGCATAGAGGTTTGTTAAAAAAAAAATTATAATTTATTGACTGGGTAATTGGCTGGCTATCTGGGTGTCTAGTTCGTCATGCGCCTTAGTACACTTGTTTCTGCAAGGAGACGATGCAGTCATTTGAAGGTGACCGGTTTGATTATCTGTTCGGAACCATGGCTTTCAATTTTTCTGTCCTCTAGTGTGTCCTTTTATTTGTCTATTTCTTTCTATGAATGCTCATCAAATAAAACTCTGTTGTTTATTATTTGTGTTAGTTGCTAGTTTGAGTTTCTAAATCTAACACTATGACGTAATTGGGCATTGTCATTTTGTTTCCATGAGTCCACCTCAGTACCTGTATCATTCATGTCCCGCTTGCACACATCTTTCTATCGTAGTAAAGGTCGGCCTCGACATCTTCTTCCTGTCTTTAATTCACCATAAAGGATGTCCTTAGGGACTCTGCCATCCTCCATTCTCTGTGTGACCCAGCCACCTGAGCCTTCGTAGACTGAGCATGGAAAAGACTGTTGTAGTACCTGCTCTTTCCAGTACCTCAGTGTTTGTGATTTTGTCCATAATGCCAAGTATTCTTCTTAGGCATCGCATGTAAAAGCTATTAAAGAGCCATTTCATATGAACCATTATTACAAGTTTTTGAAATAGCTGCTTAATCGGAGGTTTAAGCACACATGGAGATGTCCCATTTACAGTGACATAGACTGTGATATTACATCACAACATAGCGTAACATGAAATAAAAGCCAATTAATTTCTTGATAGTATGGGCAAAGTAACTTTAAATAGCTTGAGAACTGGGCACGCAGGCTATCTATCCAGAATTCTCAGTCTTATACCACAACGTTAAAAAAAAGAAAAAAATTCTTTCATTTACGCATGCCTTGATACGTTAATCTAAAAGAAATTATAAAAGCAACAACAGAGAAAAAAGAATCTGTAAGAAAGCAATAAAAATTAGAAATGCCGTTAAGAATTAATATACTATATTTTATTCTGCAAACACATAAACAGACAAAATAATAAACAGTACAATGTTGTTTTAAATATACAATCTGCAAACGTATTCTTATCGCGTGCAACTTTTTATGTCAGGAGCGTCAAAACCTAGACTGCAAATATTCTGTTATATTGCTTCAATGTGTTGTTTTAAGACATAGAAATCAACTGGTTTTAAAGAGGCGAATACACTAATTTACTCGCAGTGGAGAGCTTTTTTTTTAGAACGACGCACGGAATTTAAAGTAATGATGGAATGACATAAAACATACGAATCAATCCTCTTTGATACAGATTCGACAGTAAACTTATTACAGAAATCATGTGAGATAGCAAACCATTACACCACTTATCGGCATTGCACATACTGGTAATTAATAGAGGAAGTTAGCTAATCACGAAAACCATAAAGAGGCTGCAGTAATATTAGGCCGGATTATCAGAAAATAAAATCTGGAGACGTTTGTCGACGAGAGATTACTTCTACTGACGATTGGTAGATCCCTGCAGTACATGCTTCCCTGGGGAGTTTATTCCTATTGGAGAATACTGGGACAGCTGAAAGTATTTTAGCAATTTGGACCTGAGGAAGAGACACCAATTTATCATGACATGATAAGGTGTCAATACAGGAGTTGGAATATGTTGTTGCAAGATGTGAGTAATCATTATCGCCTCCGCCAAAAGACGCGATGATGACGATATGAACACGCGATGATGATTCTTATATCCATATATACCTGATCATAAAAAAAGTAAAGTATATTAGGACAAAATCAGAATTCACAGTAGTGTACTTTTTTACCACTTGTTACAAATGTCAAAGGCGCAAATGATATAGTAAATATTGGTTGAACAGGACACAACAACCCCACGCACAGCAGCAGAAATTCAGATAGAACGACTTCAAAACGAGCTGGGTCTGACAGTCAGATCTGCTTTTGAAGTAGAGTTCAACATACGAGAGACTAAAAGCAAACAGTACTACGGCCATGTTGTCAACTGGGCAGCTACCAATGTTATAGAAGGTTGTCAAGTAAGTATTTGGTAACTAATGTTTACGTTAGTGCCATAGCCATATTGTTCTAAATAGAAGGATGTCAAGTAAATATTTGGTAACTGATGTCAACGTTGGCACCAGCCACATTCTTAATAAATAGACAGCTGTCCAATAAGTATTTGGTAACTATCGTCTGCTTTGGTGCCACTAGCCATATCGTTTCTAAATTGACGGTTGTCAAGTAAGTATTTGGTAACTAATGTCTACGTTGGTGCCACTGGTCACAATGTTACGAAATCTACACAATAAGTAAGTATTTGGTAATTAATGTCTACGTTGGTGCCACGAGCAACATTGTTACTAAAAAGACGGTTGTCAAGTAAGTGAGTATTTGATAACTGATGTTTACGTTGTTGCCACTAGCCACATTGTTACGAAATCTACATAAAAGGTAAGTAATTGATCAATTTTACAATTTTACGCTAGTGGCGCATCGGGCATAGGATGCTCCACTCTAGGTTTATTGTCCAATCAGCGGCCTATTAATAATATAGTCATGCCTTTCGCCTATACTTCGCAGGATATTAATTACTTCCTAGGATATTACCAGATTTTCATTTTAGGGTGTTGTCTGGTAGTCTGGTAGTCTTAGTTTCAGCTTCATAGCAAACGGGTCACCCTATCTTTGCTCTGCTCCTGTGCCAACGAAAAACACACAGCATGTTTATCACAGTCTCTTGTGGAAAGATTGACAAACTGCTGTCTCAGCATATCTAGCATACACTCGCATTAAAGCATACGGTAGCCATCCGGTGCTAACACAAACAGTCCGACATTAGAAATGCAGTTCATCATTGATGGTAGCAGAAGTTGCCAACAGATCAGCAGTTGCCCACGCAATTAATTTTAATCACATACCGGCACCACCAACATTGCGCCATTTTTTGAATCTACAATTCACACCAACACGTTGGTCACAGTAAAAAAAACATTGGTACTTCTGTACTTCCTCTGCTAGAATGGGTCAAACAATACTTTCTCTGCTAGAATGGGCCAAACAATACTTTCTCTGCTAGAATGAATCAAACAGTACTTTCTCTGCTAGAGTGGGTCAAACAGAACTTTCTCTGCTAGAATGGGTCAAACTGAACTTTCTCTGCTAGAATGGGTCAAACTGAACTTTCTCTGCTAGAATGGGTCAAACAATACTTTCTCTGCTAGAATGGATCAAACAGTACTTTCTCTGCTAGAATGGGTCAAACGGTACTTTCTCTGCTAGAATGGGTCAAACGGAACTTTCTCTGCTAGAATGGGTCAAACGGTACTTTCTCTGCTAGAAAGGGTCAAACTGAACTTTCTCTGCTAGAATGGGTCAAACTGTTCTCTGCTAGAATAGGTCAAACGGTACTTTCTCAGCTAGAAAGGGTCAAACGGTACTTTCTCTGCTAGAATAGGTCAAACGGAACTTTCTCTGCTAGAATGGGTCAAACGGAACTTTCTCTGCTAGAATAGGTCAAACAATACTTTCTCTGCTAGAATGGGTCAAACGGAACTTTCTCTGCTAGAATGGGTCAAACGGAACTTTCTCTGCTAGAATTGGTCAAACGGTACTTTCTCTGCTAGAAAGAGTCAAACAATACTTTCTCTGCTAGAATAGGTCAAACGGAACTTTCTCTGCTAGAATGGGTCAAACGGAACTTTCTCTGCTAGAATGGGTCAAACAATACTTTCTCTGCTAGAATGGGTCAAACAATACTTTCTCTGCTAGAATGGGTCAAACAATACTTTCTCTGCTAGAATGGGGGAATGAAACTGTGAGTGAATGCGTTCTTTAAGGCGTTATTTGTAAGCACCTTTGTGGGTTAAAACAATTATCAACGTCTATTTTCGGCAAGGATTTACTATTTGACATGGTGCACGAGATGGGGAAGCGAGGTGTTCACATAGACTCCCTCCAGACAGAATACGGGCCAGGTCAGTACGAGGTTACGCTGGATATTGAAGAAGGAATTCAGGTAAGGAGATTGCTGTGATCGTTGATATCTTTTTACTTCTATATTATTTTGTTATAGGTTTTTTTTTTTTAAATTGTCTCTTCTTTAAAATCTGTTTCATGGAGACGACAGTTATTAATCAAGGCGGTTCTGGCTAAATTTGAAATACAAATACGGTGAAAGAGACAACTGAAATATATCGGCCATATTCCGAGATATAAAACTATCATTAAAAATCTTAGAGAAATGGTTGAAAGCAAGAAAATAAGAGGTAGAACATACACAAATGGGAGGACAACATCAAGAGATGGACGAACATCAGACTCAGCCAGTTTACAGCTAGGACGGAATGTAGTTGAATTAAGAATCGACATCATAGAACTCGGGACACTGCCATAAGCGTTCCGTCCCCATCGTCAGCAGCAAGCGAAGAGTTCTAAATCCGATGGCACCAGTAACTGTCTGATTGTATATCCGACTCGCCTTCCACTGACTGTTGAGCGTCTGCCAGATCCCCTGGTAACTCCTCGCAGCACAGGCAAGAATGTATTGGAGATCCACTGCAGCCAACCTTCACAGCGAAGACATCACCATACGATAGTTTTACGTTTTCAATCTGCGTAACTCCTACCGCCATACCGGGCATAATACGAACGTCTTATGTTGGTTAAGATTACTTATCAAGTTTTGCAACATTAAACCATTTTCATGTGTATGTCTAACACATAACTTTGTACGTAAATAATGAAATATGGTTTCTACTGTACTTATTTTGTACAATGAATGTTTTGTTTGGAACCATTAACGCATCGACCAGCCCGTTTGCAATTATAAACTGTTGTTCTGAATTCAGATACCAGGGAAGATAGGACAATTATTTACAAGATTAAATGGCTCGGGGGTCTACCCAACTTCTCAAAATGGGGTCCCAGAAAAATTCAGACATTTTTGCAAAACACGATTGTGGTGAGACTCGCAGCATCATTCGTGAAATTCTGATCTCAAAGATGATCTAAAAACGGTACTTCATGTGGAAATTGTATTTTTCAACTTGACTGTCTTCATATAAACAGCTGTGTATATTTTTATAGTAATCATGACTGGTTATTTGTTCTGTTATTTTGTGTGTATACGATTACAACAATTATCCTAACATATCACATTTATTTTATGTGAAGCTGTCACTGTTACCTACATTTATCACGTTTGCTGTTAGGTCGTAGTGAGAGAGCCGAAAAGATAGAGAAAAAAAAGGGGGTGGGGGGGGGGGAGATGGAGCCTAAGGATTTAGGTGCGCATAACTAGTGCAGTCGTCACTGACTCAGCAGGCTAGGTTCTATGTGTGATCTCGACAGAAAAAGTAAAAAAAAAAAAAATTTTACTACCTTATCGGCGATTCGAACTTGCATGTCCTGCTCAGCGTTTTTAACTATTTCAGCAAGACGCTGCTTTTTTGTTAGTTTGACATTTCACCAAATATCACATCATGGATTAGGTATCATTTATCATCTATATAGTTTCTAACAATCCTCATTGTGTTTCGTAATTACTCCCTCGACATTTACCTGTAAATTTATTGATATGTTTTCAGGCAGCAGACAATACTATAGAATTAAAGAATACTCTGAAAACATTCATGAAATCCAGAGGCTACGATGCAACGTTTATGACAAGAATTGATCCGTCTTTAGAAGGTAGTAACGCTCTTCACTGGAACCATTCCTTATGGACAGCATCCGGCCTAAATGCCTTTCTGGACAACAGCAAACCGAATAAACTATCCGAGCTAGGCTGTCACTGGCTGGCTGGGTTGATAGAGCATGCACCAGCGATGAGAGCATTTTGTGTTCCAACTGTCAACTGTTACAGGTTGGTTTCTCACATACTGTGTTAAGACAGACTGTTACAGTTTAAACTGTTTATCAATGACAGTGGTACAATGTGGACTTTCATGCCAAAAGTCAACTGTCTATATGAAAGGACTGAAGACGTGATAGACTGATACAGTGAACAGAGGAACATGACATAGCACGGTTTCCATCTAGTGCAAGTAAGTTTTTAGGGGACTGGCGATTTAGAAAGTATTATTCACAAATCCCGTGTACCGCTTTTTGATTCAGCGCTATTCCTTTGTTGCTTACCAGAAGGTTTGCTGTTACTGCATGCATTGTTACACAAATAGATATGGCAACAGTAGGTGACTTTAAAGTGTAGCACCAAATCTTTTCGGCGAAATAACAGCCTCAAATTATAATGCCTAAATCTCTAAAATAAAATTACAGTAAAAAGGTCAGGGTTGGATATGTTTGTCAGTTTATTTGAGCCAGAAAGATATTTTGGATGTGCCAAATAGACTATTTCGCACTTAACAAAGAAGAAAATCAGGGCTTTTGTATTCACATGATGCAGGAAGATTCTAAGTAAATCATTGACCAATAAAAGGAAAAACACCGGCAATTTTGACAATCTGAACATTAAAGTCAACACACAGAGGAGCACCTTATACTGGATATAGTGAGAGGTCAAGAATCAAGTTTGTCAACGCAAGCTGACAAAACACTTGATTGTGCTTGCTGGCTACCGCAGCGACTATAAATATATCTAACTTCGAATTTCATAGTACTCGTCACATAGTCACCATTTTCGTCCTGTCCCTGTCCGAGAACATCCTATAATACGTGTAGCAGAAGCATATAAAGCCTGGATTGATGACTCAGGTTGGCCCACCCTCTGAAATTGTCTAGGAGTTCGTAAGCCGGAACAATTGTGGACGAGGGATCACTTCTACTGATGATTGGCAGACTCCTGCTGTACATGCTCCCCTGTGGAGTTCTTGTTATTATTGTCCCTACGTGGGTTCCACCGCCTAATTTGTGGGAGAAAAAAACCCACTACCTCCCAACAAGAATGTCGTAAAAGGCAACTAATTAGGCGGAGCCAACAGTCAGCATTCAAATAAGTCAAATCTGTTAGACAAATTTGCAAGTAAAATAAAATTCTGCAACAAGACTCAAGTCCGAAAGTGGATTAACAGCCAGTGCCTTCCGTCGGAGTTAACAGCCAGTGAACGGTTTAAAAAAAAAAGATAACAATAGACATAACTGAGATCACAATATGTTCTTCTCAACCTTCACAGGCTGTAAACTCATGTGAAAAGTTCTGGTACCTTAGGGTATCTATCTCTTCATTCTTTTCAAAATTTAAAGAACAGAAATGAAGAGACAGATACCCAAAAGATTGCCAACTATAAAGTTAGTGTTATGTATGACTGAGACAGCATATAAAGACTACAGCTTGTAACAGTTTTGCAATTGCTGTTCATCTGTAAGTCTACAAACTATTTCTCCCACAGGGAAATAGGACAGATATGTGCACCTTTATTTGCCAACTGGAGCCGTGATGGACGACTGGCCTCCTTCAGACTCAAGGTAGAAGGTGAGAACAACGTGTACATTGAGAACAGACTTCCAACCAGCGCTTCTAACCCTTACCTTGTTCTAGCATGCTCACTGGCTGCCGGCATTGATGGAGTCAAGAGAAAACTGCCCCTCTCTGAAGCCTTTAATAAAAGCTGTTCTCTCTCTTCTAACCTAGACAGTGCACTGCAGGCTTTAGAAGCTGATACTGTTCTGACTGAAGCAGTCGGGAGTAAACTTGTAGAGTACTTCATTAACTGCAAAAGAACGTCGGAGCTTCGAGAGTTTGCAGCATTTGGAGACGTGACTGACGATGAGCTCTTGAAAAAAGAACATGAGTATTACTTTGAAAACGCTTAAATTTAAAGCTGCCGCTCTGTATACGTTTATTGCCTCATGCATTAATTTCGTGTTTATGTTTCATGGATTTTGCAGAGCCTGTTGGTTTGTTCACTAGTTTTCAAATGGGACAGCGAAAGTCTTTCTATGGAATTGTTACTGCCACAGGAAGGGAACAATTATGAGATTACACGATTAGATTCAAGTTAAAACTTCGACTACGACGACTATTTCGACTACGCCAGACATAAAGTACAATGTTTGTTCTTTGCTAGTTTGTCTTTTCTCTACAGTAACATCCTCTTCTGCGCATCTTATTCCAGCAAACCTTTAATTACCCGCCTTCCACGTGCTTGTTGAAGGACAGTGTTCTACTCTTGTTTTTCTCCTCAGACAGTGTTTATTCTTTTGTTCTTTCCCAGTTCTTCCCTAACGACAAATTAGAAGTACCCAGAGTCATTTCGGAAGTCCGGTCTGAGACCCGACATTGTTCTACAATTTGCGGATCGCAGAACATCACATGTACAAGCATGTATCGTCTTGCTAGTCGTCGCCTGCCTTTTCTGCCCACGAACCACAGCCTTAATTACCAAATAATAATGTGAGCACGTGGAAAAAAAATAGTCAATGAAATAGAGATAAATGTAAGTAAAGAGGAAATATTAGCATTTATGGTACTCAAGGAAAAGAATGAATACCACAAAAGGTACTTTGACACTGATCATTACACTTACAAAAATACTACGAACCTTTAACACATGATGGATAATAACCTGTGGAGTTGTGATTATTTGACTGTGAAATACAGAACATCAGCCCTAAATGTTTACCAGAAGAACAGAACAGTTTTAACAAAACTTAAAAAAATAAAAATTATAGCGCTAAAACAGTTTAAGACGAAGGATAAGAATACCCTGGACACATAACATGAGCAATGAAGATGTCTTGAAAGAAACTGACTCACGGAGAGAACTGATTGCCCATATCATAAAGAGACTATATGCATTCTGTTCATGTGATGAGAAGGGGAAAACTGGAGTGCATCATAACAGTAGGAGCGTTCCAGGGAAAGAGAGGCAGGGGGAGACCGAGAGAAACAGATGCTGGACAGCTCGACATTATGGCATGAAAGATCATCTGTACTATCAGAGTTGATGAAAAGTACATGAGACATAAGATTGTGGAAAGACAATGCTACTACGCCACACTATGTGGACTTTGAGAAAAAGAACAAGAAAGTCGCGGCGCACTATGCATACACACATTTTCATGACCCGATACAAAGTTATTTAAAAAGTTTGCTGTTGCAACGACGTTTAAAAGCGTTTTTGAAAAATTATGTTCTGGGCCTAAAAATTTATACAGGTATAGTGAATAGCAACTTTTTGGACATCCTAAAATGCTCCCCACCCCGCACAACCCCAATGGGAACAAATTAATATGGTAAGCAGGCCAGACTGTTGGCACTTCATGTGAAAACCTCTGCCCTATTCGATGCCTATCTGTGAATTAAAATGCGCATAACAATGAACACGAAATAAGCCGTCCTCAGTTCGCACTCTCAGATCCGGGTGTCACACGTGATGACGTTCTGGAACATAATGTGTTACAGTGGCAACTTCTGAAACGACGTGAATATAAGTAATCACTAGAGAAGAAATGTTAACAATCGGGACAGTTGGTAAACATAATAACAGTCTTGCTTTGATGAGAGGGGGAAAGATAGATGAAGGGAGTTTGCTTATTTCTCAGTAACTGAATAATGTTTGCTGGTCCTTACCCGCATAGAACTGCAGATTACACCTGGTTGGTGTAGACCGTACACATGCCTTTATTATAATTTCTTTGGAGGTTGAACGGGATATCTTAGATCAGCCTTTTTGGTCTTCCTTTCAGGTTGCGATGTTTTTAATCTCAGGATGGTATGATATACTTTTAAGTAGCAGCCTGTAAGGGACAAACTGATTGATTGATCATTTAGTTGTTTCATACAAAAGGCGTGATGTATACTTTTTTATCTTCTCTATATCCCCCCCCCCCTTTTTTTCCCCTCTGTTCTTGTTTCTCTGATTATTAGTTTTATTCTGTGCACGATTACTGGCATAACACTTTAACCATCTTACTTTATTTCTGTTATTGTCTGTTATTTATATTCCATTAGTGATAAAATAAACGTTTGAAAGCTTTCTGAGATCAAGTGGACAAAGTATCCATCTCAGAAGAGACTCATTCAGTTTAGAGTAAGCAGAGGATATGGATGATTTTTTTTTTTTAGCAAAGTAAGGAATAAACAGCATGAGTACGTGAATTCCTCGGGGGCTATTAAAAGGAAGGACACAGAATACGTGTGGGATGTACAGCTTGCAATAATATCAATTCAAAGAATGACTTTAGCCTAGAGCATTAGCTCAGTTGGTTAAACTAGCTACGCGGCGACCGGGTGACAAATTTCGTCAGGTCCGAGTTCAAGCTCCTGGGTAGGCAGAAAAGCCACATACCTTGAGTTTCCTAGATTTACGGGAATCATTTAATCAATGTCGAAGGGTTGCGATATCAATTGTACTGAGTCAAAAGGTTTACAACTCATGATTTCTGTAAAAAAAAATGGATGACTTTGAAGAGGTAGGATGTAGTGTGGTAGACCTGTCCTTTAAAGACAAATCTTTAGGTAGTATGTTGAAAACCAAATGGAGCCAGATTTCTATTCACAAATGACTTTGAATCCAAAGTCGACTCCTGAGATGTAAAGACGGCCGCAATGATATCAACCACATCATCTATCGAGGCGAAAAAAAATATGAATTTCATATATCCGATGCGCAACGTTGGACAGATCTTTTACTGTTTGAGTTTTTTTTTTTTTAAATAAGTTCGCAGTAAACAAAATGTGGTTGGAACAGTGGTAGGGTAACTGTTGGACACTCGTCTTTCAGCCTGAATGTCTACAGATCAAACAAGTTTGACCTAGCCTTTACCCTTCCTCATGACGCGCCTAAATAACGTGGATTGCTCTTTTGACAAAGATAATTTTCTTTTTGTAATGTATTTTTGCTAAGACGCCCCAATTCTGTTTAATTTTGTAAAGTTCTTGCATCACTCCTGTATTTTAATATTCTATTCATGCATTTTTTGGCATGGTAATTTTAAACAAAGCAAACGATAATTAGATAATTAAATAATTTGTTCCCTATTGCTCTTTCCATAGATCTACCCAACCGTCACCTGTTCAGGCTTTCTCTTATTCTTAAAATCTGAATACAGTTCTCGACAATGAGCTGACAAAATTAGAAAATGATTTAACACATCAGTAGTTGTGCAGATGTGTGTTCTATACAATAACTTCCCAGTACCGTTGTGCAGGTTCTTGTATGTGCAGGGAAAGCGAGGGAGAACGGGTAGGTGTGACTGGCTTGTCTGTGCCTGGAGATAATCTGGTTTTATTATGACGAGACGCACAAGAAACTGCAAGTAGAATCAACATTGCCAAATCAGTTCTGTGTACTGGTGATAGTTTTATCACCACAGTGTAGTGTTACATGCGTTGCTTCATTTCAAGCTGAATATTCTAAAATGCCACTAGGAATGTTATGCTTAAAAACAAACAGACTAGAGAATTGTGATTTCTAGCGCCTGTGTATCTTTAACCATGTGATAATTACTGACTATGTAATGAGTTCAAAAATTACAATTGTTTCTTGAAGTTATTTTGAAAGTAGTATATGCTACTAGGCAAAAGAAAATAAGTTTCAAGTAGGCTCATAAAGTGATACATAAAGAAGCCTTTTTACGCCTTTGAAAGATCAAACATACAGCGGTAGATTTATGTTTTATAGACCAATCAGCACTCGATGAATGGTGTGGTCGACATTCATCATCCTCATTATGTAGCAGGACATTTGCAGAACGTCGCTCTCATCACAGTCTGCCTGAAAGAAACTCGGTCTCTCACCAGTTCTCCCGGCTCATGTACTCATACTCAAGGAGTCATTTATATCTTGTGCACATCATCGTGTCGGTCGGCTCCTGCCCCTACTTCCTGGTACTATGCCTTCTGCAATATTTTTTTTCCAATTCGTCGTGGCGCTTGATATGACCACAATTTTACATTAAGCCGGCCAATTTTACTGCATAAGACTTTTTATAGTACATAATGACGGCTGATTTTCAATGTAATACTCGATCAACTGAGATGTCGTGATAATATAGTTACTACACAGTATACGTAACATTGCATGTTAGTTAAAAAAAAAAAAAAAAAACAGTTTAGTAATTAAATTATCGTTGTACATAACTAAAGAATTTGCCATGCAAATCTTCAAAGTTCGATTGTTCGAGCAACAATATTGTCATATGGTATTATCCTAAATAATAATGCCGTCAGACGTTTTTAATTTTATGTGACAATGTCAATTTTATGTGACGGAGAAATGTACTAGGGTCAACTATAATCGTAATGTTCAGTTATAACAAATAGACAGATAAGATGCATTTGTTTCGTGGTAAGCAGTGTCTTTTTTTTAATGCGTTATTTCATTAAAATGATCACCATCATCGCTGTCGTCATCGTTATCGTCATTATGATCATTTGCATAGTCGTTGTTGTCGCCATCATAATCATCTTTATTAATATCACCACAATAGATGTCGTCAGATTGGTCTATGCAATTCCTGCAGTTTTATCACTGTTATTTCTCTGTTGTCTATTCTCAGTAGTTTCGCCAGCATTGAACCAGCAAATACTTGCATGAAAAGACCACTGTCTGCAATTAACGCATCATGCATTTGGTGCTGACTCATATTTATAAAGACTAATCGCAGCGGATAGTTGATTCAGTCAGCGTCATGGCGGTCGCCTTTACTTCTAAAGACATTTTCTAGTACCAATTAACTGACAAATGAAACATGTTCATGACCATTTATGAATAAAGACTTACAGAAGACAGGAAGTTACATGAAAAAAAACAGGTATAAGAATGTGTGAAGATGGCAGTAGGTCTGGCAAGGGTGGACGCATGCGAGTA